TACTCATTGAATATCTTTGTTCTTCTGCAGTGGCATGATGTCTTTCTAACGCTCTCTGCCCAGCAGTAAGAACAATCAATCGTCATATGTTACTCCAAGAATGCCGACAGAACTTGCAGCATTTGACGAATTTGCAGCTCTTGCAATGTTCCACTTGTTAAGTCACTCAGTGCCGAGAGTATCAGCTTTTGTTCTGCGTACTTGCCGTCAATTACTCTTCTCGCTAACGATTGGCGTTGGAGCAGGCGCTTGAAAGAGCCTTGACAGTGATGCGTCGGACCGTCACATTGCATTTCCGTAGCTGGAATATCACACGTAAATCATTGGCTGCTTGCATGTGAAGCCAACAAGCTGTCCTGCAGCTTACTCTTTTGTGTTCTCTATGGAGAGCCAGGTTGCAGTCTGATACAACACGGTACCAACAAAAGAAGGTGGAACTTTCTCATGCTTCTGGGCCCGCTGACTTACGTAGAACGCAGCATTGGCTGCTTGGGTGGTCCGTTCGGCATACGTGGATGAAGTTGCGATGAGGGGTGCACACTTGGCACGACTAAGCCCAGATGATGATATGTGAGCTGCCGTCGACTCCCCGCATAGAAGTCAGCAGAGCAGATGATGGCTGGCAATTGAAATTGGAACTCGCTGTCGCGCTCTCGGTCTTTCTCTACTCCAATCCTTTCCTATCGCTCTTTCCACTTTGCACCGCTGACCGTTCACGGGAATCCTCCACGCCCCAATTCAAATCATGGCATTCCTGTTTCTGATCCCGCTGGCGATTTTAGGTATTGCCATCTTCAAGCTGCGGAATGTCGGCCGACGGCCCAAGAACTATCCTCCGGGACCTCCCACGTTACCACTGATCGGAAATTTGCACCAGATTCCACCGACGCAATCGCATCACCAGTTCAAGAAATGGGCCAAAGAGTATGGGTATGTTCAACGGAGCGCTCGCCTACATGGCTGGGAAGTACGGGTAACCATATACTAACTTTTGGGTCTTGGGTAGCCCAGTTTACTCGCTCATTCTCGGCACCAAGGTCATGATTGTGCTCTCGTCCGACCGAGCAGTCAAGGATCTCTTGGACAAACGCAGCAACATCTACTCCTCTCGCACCGATCTCTACCTCGGAAATGTAGTCAGCGGCAATCTCCGCGTCGTCATGATGGTCAGTTATTCGACGCATTTCCAGGATATCAACAAATTTCTGAATTTAGGACTGACGAACACAAGCAATACGGCGAAACCTGGCGCATGATCCGAAAGATATTCCACCAAGTCCTACACATCAATGCCGCCAAGGGCTACGTACCATACCAAGACCTCGAAAGCAAGCAGATGCTATCCGGGTTCCTGGAAGAGCCCGACTCCTTTGTCGCTCACATCCGTCGCTTCACGACCTCGCTGACGACGCAGATGGTATTTGGTTTCCGCACAACGAGCATACATGACGAGAAGCTGAAGAGGCTGTATCACTGCGTTGAGAAATGGAGCGAGGTCGTGGGTTCCTCTGCGGCTGCTATGCTGGATGTGTACCCACCCCTGAGGAACCTCGGGTTCATGTCGCCCGGGAAAAGATATGCTGAGGCGCTGCATAAGGGAGAGAGGGCTCTGTACGTTGGTCACTGGATGGATGCCAAAGAGCGTGTTCTTAAGGGCACAGCGAAAGTTAGCATTGCCCCATATTCGAGATCGCGTATAGGATACTGACCGATGCTCAGCCCTGTTTCTGCGTAGGCATCGTCGAAAGCCAAAAGACTCTCGGTTTCTCCGACGCCCTGGCCGGCTACATCTCTGGATCCGCGCTTGAGGCTGGTTCGGACACCACCGCATCCACGCTGACTGGCTTCGTCCAAGCCATGGTTCTACATCCATCGGTACAGAGGCAAGCCCAGGACGAGCTGGATCGGATTTGCGGTACCAAGAGACTCCCGAACATGGATGACTGGGACTCGATGCCCTACATACGGGCATGCGTTAAGGAGTCCCTGCGTTGGATGCCGACTGCGATCCTCGGCCTGCCGCACGCCGTCATACAGGACGACGAGTACATGGGCTACAAAATTCCCAAGGGCGCAGGCGTCATGCTGAATGTATGGGCCATCAACATGGACGAGAACCGGTTCGAGAATCCCCGCGCTTTTGACCCTTCTCGTTACGAAGGCGACGAACAGAACTCGTTTGAGTCAGCGATGAATGGCGACGCGTCGAAGCGCGACCACTACGTCTTTGGTGCTGGTCGGCGACTCTGCCAGGGAACGCATATCGCTGATCGATCGCTGTTCCTGAGTATTTCGAGGCTGTTGTGGGCTTTCAGCCTTGAGAAAGCAGTTGATACTGAGGGAAATGAGATTACACCAAACGCGGATGACCTTACTGACGGGTTTCTGGTCCAGCCGAAGCCGTTCCCTGCGAAGATTACGCCGAGGAGTGATGCTCATGTCCAGGTCATCCGAAGGGAGTGGGAGGCGAGTCAGGCGCTTCTGGACGAGAGTAAGCAGTGGAAGGAGATCCCGAGCGGAATGGTTTTTGAGTCATTGGTTTCGTTGGATCTCAAGGAATGACCTCATCGTGGACGTTGGGGTTGAACAAACGATCTGTTCCAGAATATTACGGCAGCTCAGATAAACGAATGAACTGTAAAATGGTCTCTCATAATTTGTGGTCTTCGTTAAAGTTGGAAACATCGCCGCGCCCTTGCTTGTAGGCACCGAAGTCTCGTAGTATCGCTCATGCTTTGAACTTCTCGGGGGCCCTCTCCTCCGCCTGATCTTGAGGCACTGCCTTTGCCTTTCCTCTTCCTGGTGCGTTCTCGAACTTGTCCTTCCACTTACCCTCTTGGTTGAACATTGTGAGGCACTGGATCGCTGATGGCTTGCCATATTCTGGGTCAGCACCACCCTCCAGGAGGACCTGCCAGAGTCAGCGTTAGCACTGTGACATGAGAAGTCCTTCCTCCCCATGATTTCTTGTGCAAACTTGCCTCGATTACTGCATCCAGGCCCTTGAAGACCGCGCCCGCGATGGGACTTTGACGCTTGTCATTCAGTCTGTTGGGGTCAGCTCCATGCTGGATCAGGAGCTTGACCACGTCCGCATGACCGTAGTACGCAGCCAACATCAGCTGAATAAGATGTTAGCCGTAAGCTTACTCAACACCTATCGTCAAGGTCTCTGGTTTAGACGCTGAAGACGGCATCCCCCCCCTCCCCCCTCCTCCCGCTGAGAAGCAGCCGCTAAGGTGAGCATCGCTACGCACCAATGTATCTCCCTTCTCATTCGTCAGGTTCGGCGGCAGCCCATCGAGGATACCTTCCTCAATGACAGCCTTGTTGCCTTCGCGGGCCGCATTGTACATGCTGGCAGCCAACCTGACGGCCTCCAGTGATGGCGAGAACGCCGTAGCGGATGTCAACGCGCTCATGTTTTCTTCTGATGGATGTTTTGAGAACGACGAATTGCGCAATAGTCTCCGAATGAATCTAGCACTTAGTAATGCTGATAGTGATAGTGGTTCCTCGCGGCGGAGCGCAATACTAGAGTGAATAGGATAGGCGAGGTTGTCGCCGGCTTCTGCTAGGTATTCGGTGAGGTCGGAGGGGAATGTTCGAGAAATGCCCGGTTAGTAAGCTGGACTGCTGATTGGCTCGGCTTGTGTTGTGACTCCGTGCATCACCGGAAGCTGTGGCTGCAGAGTCAGAAAACGGTCCCACTTTTTACCTGCTAAGAATATACTGGGACAAGACGTCTTGTTCTAGGTAGGTACAGTACACAATGCTCGCTTTCGGATTGCCCGAATTGCGATTAGCAGATTGTTCACTCAGCTTTTCTGTGCGTTTGCGAATTTTCCATCTGAGAGACAATATGCGGTTGTTCATTGGGATAGTTAATTGCACAACTGCTGTCAATCGAGTTACCAATGACTGCTGATGTCTAAGCGCAACACTTTTACTGCCAAGATTAAAATAACACGCTGGATGGACTATTTATTACCTTAGTTTGAAAGCAAGGCTCACTTGTATTGCCACCCTTTTTGGCCTAACTCCAACAAACTTCTCTCAACTTGAATACAAACAAGACGTACATGACCAAGGCATGCGATATCCATCAAACTCAACTACCAAAGCAAACTTTAGAGTCTTGATATCAATTTTACATATACACACTAGCCGCCTATACTATATGATCATCCTAGTCAGAACATCATAACCAGTGAGACCGTGATAGTTACATTGAAAATAAGGACGATAGCGTTCAGTTTAGAAAAAGCTTGTTATAATAATGTGATATGTCCAGGTCCGAGGCCTAGTGTGTAGAGTAAATTAGTATCCATTATAGCGTATTGCTAATAGTCGTAGTATCGGCCACGACGAGAATGTCAGTACTGGGCTATGATTGCGATGTCGACGTGATCTTCTTATGGTCAAGGCCAGGTACATATTGCCCCGGAGAAGACGCCGCCGTGCTCATCACGCAGCATCGGGGGGTAGATCGCATGGGTATACGGACAAGGGCCGAGAACCAGCGGCCGGAGGTGGAGTCTCCACGGCTAACCCAACACAACAGTAACAATGTCACGAGTCAGAGCGCGCAGCCACGATTCTGCAACGAGAGTGGAAAGTTATTGATAGTCAAGCTAGAGTACAAGCTGGGAGATTCCACGTCTATGTGCCGAACAAGAGCGAAGGACAGGGGAAAGGGCACATAGTAGATAGACGCTTTTGTCTCGGTAGATCATAGGCCGGCCGAGGGGCAACGGAAACGGCCGGTCGCGGCCCGCCCCTGGTAGCCGGGAGTGGAACCAGTGTCGTCTCTACCAAGGACCCACGCACTATCATGGATCCAACCCTTCCATAGACCCCACGCGCGATCGTCTCGCCGTCCGGTGCCGGGGAGAGGAGGCAAGCCTGCCGGCCCCGCCATTGCGGTTTAGGACAACCGCAAGCTACAACACGCCTCCCAACGGCCGAGCGGAACGGGCGAGCCCTCATCTCGCCACGCTCTATCCGACAACGAAACAGGTGGGGTGATTTCCGGCGGCAGCCTTCGAACGGCAGCCGCTATCGAAGAGGAAGGCGGGCTTCTGGTTGAAGGAGGCAGTTTTCGGGCAGCTGCAGTCCTTCAGGATAGTGCACCACGGCGACATGCAGGTGTACTCGGACTGATCCTTATCGCCGTTGCCGAATCTATAGTGGCAGGCGAGGTAACCCGCGCCGCAGACCTTGCGGGCCTCGAGCTGCTGTAAGGCGCCTTCGGGCTCGGCGACGGGCCCCGCGACGGGCCCCGCGAGCACCGGGGCGAGAGCAGCGGCGAGGGCGACGAATGTGGCGGGCAGCATAGTGGCGTAGTAAGAGATCGGAGGAGTGGTTGAAAAGCAAGGCGTACGAAGCAAACACCGGTAGGAGAGTGAAGGTAGGAGGAATAAGGTAGAGTAGACGAGGCCTGAGCGATGCGGGAATCAGAGAGCACTTTGGGAGCGTCGAAGCCCCCCTTTATATCTCTTCTTCTCTCCGACGGCACAGGTACAGTATTTCGTCGTCCCAAGATGCGGACGCCGCGGCCCACGAAGGCTACACACTGAGCGTTTCGAGCGAAGTCGTCCACGCGCAGAGGAGGGCGTATGCAAGGGCAATCGGAGGGGCAGCGAGAAGCCTTCCGCGGCGAAGCTGGACATAGCCATCGGCCATTGGGCGTAAACGAAGTAGAGCATAGAAGCGGAGGGTATAGTTCAAGAAGTCTAACCGGCGACTTAGCCTGCATAGAAGCCTAAGGGGAAACTGCGGACCGGTTCATAGAAGACCAATAGGCCCCTAGCCGTAGCGGCCAGTAACACGAGGGCTATGAGTAGAAAGACGCACGTCTTGAGCGGCTATCTAGACGAAATAGGCAGTAGCGTATAGGCCAGACCCTGGCGTCAAGATCGTTGGCTAAGTTGCGGTGCATTTTGATAACTAGGTTCCGTAAAAGTAAGACCGCGGAGGAGGTCTGTTTTAGGCTAAAGCTGCGCCGGGGGACTGCAAAGAGCAAAAGTCTACGGGTATGGTCTGATGATAATTAAACACAGTTCTCACCACATTTCGGCTGGCGTGGGATGGGCGAAACCGGGGATGGCGATACCTTAGTTTTTCAAAGAGGCCGACGGTGAACGAGGCGTGCCGGCGGAACCCATGGAGGCAGGAACGATTCTCGACCGGTTATAAAAGGGAGGGGAGGAGCGCGCCCTCGAGGTTGAATAGATTTTAAACACAACAGCCAAGACCCGCCATATAGTTTCCGGGAGCCCTTACTTTCCTACTATCACCAGACATACAACCGTACTATACATCTCCGCCTTCAACGACCTCACCAATCAACCGCAGACTTCAACATGGTCAGCTCGTGGAAGATGACAGCCAGCCTGCTGGCCGGCCTAGCAGCGATGGCCGCGGCGCGGAAGTGCCCGGCAGGACTGATCAAGTGCATCTACGTGGGACCGGACGACGAATGCTACAACATATGCACGCCGCTGATAGGAGAGTGCACATGTCCTCCGACGAAGTCGTTTCCCAGCTTAGGCAACGGACCGCCGGTGACGTTGCCCAACACGGACTCGGGATGCACGACGAAGCAGGCTATCAAGGGGTGGAAGCAATGTAAAGAAGAGAGCCCTTCGGTTCAAGAGGCAAGGCTAACAGCGGATCTAGGCTAGGCGAGTACCGGGAAAAAGCAGCAGACCGTCCACAGTGAAGTAGAGAAGATAGAGCGAGGGAAAGAGGAGGGGGAGGGCTGAGGGCTGCCCCGTCGTTGTCCTCCGCCATTCCGTAGCATCGTGTGCGATGGTCCTGTCAAATAGCCTGCCAGAGTAACACGACGGGCTGTAGAAGAGTTGATAAAAAATAAAAAAATAAAGTTTTTTTTTTTAAGTGTAGTATTCGCCGTCGGACCGCGCCGGGACACGTGCAACCGTATACAACTATAGGCCGAAGCCATCCACCGCCCCGCTCTATGCCCGTTTGCCCAACTAGCCAAGTTCAACAAGGTTGCGTGGCGGCTTTGATTGGATATGACCTTACATAGACCTACTCGTTCTTCATCAAGCCACCTACCTACCCTACTTTAGTACTGACCCCGACGCATTCCTGACTAAAGACGCCTTTTTAGCAACTATATGACCTCTTTCTCATGAGGTAGAATACCAAAGCAGGCCTTACGTCTTCCCTCTTCTGTTATTATATAACACCTGCTACATCTAGTTAACCATATTACCAATATAACATATTTTACGTACTTAATATACACGCAATGATGGCTAATCTTCCTTACCATCAACAGATCGTGCACTTAGCTATCAAGTGTATTTGCAAAGTTCTCATCCGAGAGGCAGTTTTCGGCTTCCGATTTCGATAGTTGACTGCACTGCTATTGTCAATCGAGTTGCCAATGACTGATGACGTTAAAGCGCAACAGGAATGATATGTTGGATGGACTAAACTTCCCAAAGTAGTATACCTTGTAGAGCTCACATGTGTTACTTACTCCCTTTCTAACGCATCTCACAAATGTGTCGTTGTAGGTTTCTCAGGCGGCCCGGCACGAGAAACTAACCCAAGGAGATGTGAAAAGCACGGGAATAGGTATTTAACTGATGGAGCTCCGTAAATGGACTTGATTGCTACTTTTGTTGGCTAGGTTCCTTGGACGCCTGATGACCTTCCTGCAAACTTATCTCAAGGCGACATTCCTGTAAGGGAAGAGAAGAGGATACTCAGGGCTCGGGTTTGGTCGCTGTAGCTCGGCTAAGGTACATACATTCTATCTTTTAAGTATGCCCCGGATGGTAGTCGTAAATCTCCTCGGGCACCTGCCCTGGGAGATACTCCAACTGATCCATAATGCTCTTATAATTGCCAACTTTCGAGATGTCATGTGCAGACACCCTCACCACGTCTGGCGGTGATGCCCGTGTATGCACCAGAACTTTCCGTGTCTCTATGTAAGGTGAACGCTAGTTGAATGACACACAGGATATTTGTCTATGTTACTGGATAGGTACTGGTAAGAGCGGGCATAGTGATGGCAACCACCAGCGCGTATCGTCGAGCAACTGTCTTTCTCTAGCAGAGCGAAGATGTGTAAACTGTAGTTTGTTTTGCGTTATGAGAGCGGCACTTGAGTTGAAAAGAATCACCCTCTACTTTGACTTGCGTTGGCGCATGAGATGGTCCCAGTTGCGAGCCTTACTCCTCCACAGCCCAGAAATCTTTCCGCGAGCCCGAGGGCTCTCAGAAAGGTACTGCATCATGGACGCGGCATACTCAGCCTGCTTCAAGCTCATCTTGGCAACGAATTCCGGATGGGGCTCCAAAGCGTGATGATGACGGACAAGGAGATCCCAATGGCAGTGTTCGCAGAATCGTGCGACCATTTCATCTCGGAATCTGGCCTGGACTGGATGATCGACGTCGAGCGTGTCAAAGGCCCTCGCAAAGGCATCGAAGCAGCGGTCGACTTCTGCGCCGTCCGCCTCTAGGGCCAGGAGGTAGATGTGTGCAGTCAATATATTGAAGCTGAGAACGGACCTTGCACTGCTCAGTAACTCCTTATTTTGGAGAAAGTCGAGGAGCTGATAAAGCTTGACGAGGCGCGTCCAGTCGGCGACGTGCAGGAAATGGGCAATCGATATGATGCCAAACGTACCCCCGTGCTCGGGTGTCTTGTTGAATTGTCGATGTGCAAAGCCCAGGTACAAGAACATTAGATCAGCGTCAACATCAAGCATGCGGATGGTGGACCTCTTCGATTCTTGGAAATCGTGGCTCAGGCAGGCCCTGAAGAAGTCGGAATGCCTAGTGAGGAGGGATTTCTGGACAACAAAGGACTTGTCGTTGGCACACTCGATGACAATGCGAACTTGGTCGCCGTCATCCCCGCTACTGCCATTTGTTAGGGATACTTTTGTCAGAAAGATCGATCAGGGCGCAATACCGAATGGGGAAAAGAACCTCTCTATCTTGATCCATTGTGGCTTTCCGTGTATCGTGTATTCTGTATTGTTTTGTTTTCAAAGTTGAGAACGGCCCGATTGAGTAACAATACATTTAGTATCCCTCAGAGAGGCGGAAAGTAGGAAGAATCTATAAGAGAGAAATGAGTTGATTGAGGATGGCCGCGCATATCCAGTGTATTTTTGCCATCTCTGATCAAAGAAGCTGGAGCGTTCCAAAAAAGAAAGCTACCTTGGGTATTTCCAATAACTGCCTCTGCTACTGGACCTCGATATCGAGACACCATAGTCGTGCTCAAATGGGGCTGGGCACCCTGATGTCAACTTCCAGGTCTAACGTCGGTGGAAGTACAGCCTGGCGGCGGCAGTCACGCTGACGCACGAGGCAGTATACCACTTGATGGGTCGGCAGACTTTTCCTTGAGCTCAAAGGGTTACATCAGGTGTCGTTTCTATTAGGTGTGTAGTCTCCCTAGGATTCATTCGTTGGCAACTTTTGCTAAACCTGAACTACATGTACTCTCGAACTAGAAGAGTATTTACTCGGCAATACTCTTCCTTACAGATCAAGTCTTCTATCAAACCCCATCAGCATCATGGAAATTTTCAAGACAAATCCCGATATCGAAAAGGGACCACCAAGCGATATTGAAAAAACACTTCCAGTCTACACTTGCTCTGACCATATCCTTGATGCCATTTCCCGGGTTCTTGTGTCAGTTATTTCTTGTTGAAAATGACCTGGTATACTGTTGATCTCCTCAATTAGTCCATTTGCCATCCCAGGATACATGTTTACACTGAATGACGTTCTAAAGTTGTACGAAAACAAGCATGTATTTTCGATATCATTGTGGACTGGTGGAATGCCGCTTGTGACATGGATTTGGGCCACAGTGTACCTCGACGAACGTCACATTTCAAGGTTGCAGGAAACGGCGGACACTACTTCGGTTGATGGGTTGTCAGATGTCGTCCAGTCAGGAGAAATGGAACGCAACACCGTCGTCGGAGGGTTCAAACTTCACGAGTGGGGATTCGAGGAAATACAGAAGTGATTTCGTCGTCTAGGCATGATTTGACGAATTGAATTCGAAGTGGTCACGAGTCTCAAGATCTGAGTTACCAATATTATGCCGATGAGTTCCATTGGCAATTAATGCCATAATCTTGCCGATCTTTGTCCTAGTGTTGGCTTAGATATACTACCTGACAGTAGAGACTCTATCGATAATCGTACGGGTACGAACGAGGACTCTCGGTCTATCGGTATGGCCTCGATTGAAGACCGAACTGTCATACTAAGCAGCTGGAAACCATAAAGGATACCGTGTTTCAAAACGCTTTTGTTGAAT